CTAAAATTGCGTTGTGGTGTGAATAGCGACTCTTTTATGTTTTATATTGAGAAAAAATTAGCTGCTAAATTGTTGCCATAGTCGAAAATGAAGTTCTTCGAAATGTAGGATTTGTCGCAAATGTACTTATATAAATCATTTTTTCACACGATTTATAAATAATGTACATCTTAAAAAGTATTAGTATTTTGTGTTTTTGCATTTTTAACTTCCTTTTTTCATAACAGCTGTTAAGATCGTCAACGAACTTTATTTTACATTTAGTAAAGAAAATAAAGAGTGTCGATTACAATTTTAAACTTCATTATCTTAGTCATAGTTTCTTGACCTTTTTAATACGAATTTTATTCTCATTATGTCTGTTTCTAGTACATTTTTTATTCTTTCATTTCTGAATCATTAACAGCTTATGAGAAACTTTCCAATAAAAATTTAGGTTTTTTTAATCTGCAAATTTTTCTTCTTTCTTTTATTTACTTCCAATTTTTTAGAGCCTCGGCTTTGCTTTGTTATTAAGTCTGTTAAATTTGGAGTCTATTTTTATTCCATCTGGTCTTTCTTCTCGATTGAAATTTTTCATCTAAAGTTTTCTTTTTGTGAAAAAAGACGTTTTTTTAACTGAATACTGTATTGCCTATTTATTTATTTTATAACTTCTTATTACTTTTTTTTTCAATTAAATCAAGTATTAAATTCCATATTATTCTAATTAAATTTTTTTAGGCAATCAATTTATACTGAGGATAAAATAAATCGCAAATTGAAAGGGCAAACATGCACCTATCTTATCTTACAATCGTTTACTTATAGCGAAAAAATTTTGAAAAAATCCAAATAAATCAATTAAATTAATTTTTTTTAAATAAATGGAAAGTTTAGGAAAATTTTAAAAACAAATATATTATGTTATTCTTGATAAAAAGAAATACAATTTAGAAGAGATTTTACGAATTTAATCTAAAATATTTTTATGAACCAATAGAATTTTTCAAATTTTTATATGTTCAGTTTATAGAATATTATTGGTTGAGTGTTTTATAAACAAATTGGAATATGCATATCTTAATTGGGGCACACATATTGGTGTCTGGTAGTATTTTAATTGATTAAATATTTCGAAATGAGTCTTGGTCGTAGGGATATTACAGGAATATATAAATGATGATGTAGAAAATCTAAAGTACTTAGTATATACTTATTAAATTATTCCTATGCATGAAAAGTGGCGATCCAAAGTTGTTAATATTTTAAATTTTGTTCAATCCTGCCTACTTTCAATCGAAGATGCTCATAAAAATATTCAGAAAATTATTTTCAAGTAATAAACATGTTTACAATCCAGGCTATATTCTGACAAAGGGGGTAAGACCATATAAGAACATATTTCATAAATCGTACAACAATTACTTTAATTTATTGTGGGCAAATGAAAATTTATATTGAACGATGCAAACTACAAATTATGAAGCTCTAAATTTGACAAAATTACCGAAATCATAGAAATCCTTAAAACTATAGTAACCTATACAAACATAAAAAAAATACAAACGAATCAGAAAATATGTAATGAGGCGAAAAACCCGAATACAAATGACTATAATGTAAACAATTTTATTTTAAAGTTTTTTCTCTGAGACATTTAATTGTTATAACAAAAACAGTAGATAATATGTTTTTTTTATTTTTAATGGTCTAAAATTAATGTTACCAAATAAACTTCTTTTTGTTGATCCAATAGAGAAAATAATTAAGTTTAAGAATATAAAACCAAAACTTAGCTTTAAAAGTAAAGTACAGGTTGGTAGAAGAAGTCACTAAGAAAATTTTAGAAGAAGCTCAACTTGCAAAACCATATAACGAATTAGAGAAACTAAAACTTCATTCAAAGTTATATAATGCAAGAAAAAATGAGCTTGTGAGTGTTAGCGACTCTTCAAGATGGCTAAAGAGAGGAAATATTAGGCCACGAAATGAAGCTGTGTTCTGCTATATCCAGGATAGAAATGTATTCTGGGGAGCAGATGGTGTGTGTCAACATTGCGGCAAGTCTGGTAAGACTGTGGATCATCTAGCAACTAGATGTGAAAAAATGCTAGGCCATGATTACACTAGACGGCATAATGAAATGGTTCGATGCCTACAACTACTTCTCTTAAATAGATATAAGTTTGCGTCTTCAAAACGAATAAGGAGTCACTCAGTTCAAGAAATTCTTGATAATGAGTATCCAAAGATAAGAGTGGATACCAGAATAAAAACTGAAGTTAAAATTTAGGAATAACAGACCCGACATATTTATTTTAGATAAGAAGAAGAATAAGATAACACTCATTGAAGTAGGAATCACTTCCCAAGATTCACTTCAAATAGTTGAAACTGAAAAACTTAGGAAGTATGACCTGCTAGCCAATGAGTTGGGTCTTATCTATAGGTGTAGTGTTGAGATAATCCTTTATGTGATGACCTGGGACGGTATTGTGACAAAATACCATAAATCTCATCTTAAAGGACTAGAAATACCCATGAATGTAGAGGCATACATTCATCTATAGTACTTAAGAAGACAGTCGAAACAATTTCCTTTGATCCACGAAGAGGATTTGAGTCAGGACTAAATGCCGAAGAGAGCTGGGAGAGAGCGTCAATGGGTGTCGTTAAGAGAGCAGAGATACACGAGGGACCAAAACTCTCTTTAAAGGAGGCGAAGAGAGAGGAAGATGGTGCAAAAAATTTTAAACCAAAAAATAAAGCACCCTTTATTTTACAAGGAGGAACCACTTTAGAGGAACCGACCAATAACATAAATGAAGAGTCGGATTTGGAAGAAGAGACAAAAGTGGTTAAAGAGGTAGAAGAAAACATGTAAAAATGGTATAAATATTTTAACCCAGAATTTTATGAAATAAAATAGAAACAAAGGGGTACACTATAGACCGTGACAAAAAATAAACAATCACATTTTCTTCTTTATTTTCTGTTTCTGTTCATTTGTTTATTCGATTCGATAACTTTTATCCTTTCAAAATTATATATTTTTTGCTTTTTAATCCATCTTAGTAGACAATACTTTTGTCTTATAGAGTTAATTTTATGATTATAAGGAGTGTAACTAAAGGATAAGGAAAATCCTTAAAATTATACTGTTGTAGTATAACGTATTACGATGCGTTACATAATTGAACAAAAAAATGTAATATAATATAACTGTATGATTTTAATAGATACCCGACCCGTTTCGCATATCTATGCTTTCAAGAAGCACCATAACAAAATAGATGCATCAATATGTTCCCGAACAACAAAAAATCTTAAAAATACTATTCGAAGCTACATAAACTCTGAAAAAGAGCAATTTATTCCATTTCTTCATACTTTATAGATTTTTATATATATGGTGGTTCCAAACCTTTTTCGAGTTGATTTTTCCGTTGCAGTAATAAATACATAAAGAGGGCATTATAGAATAAAGTTTATAAAATACAACATAGGCACTATGAACCGTGACATTTAGTAAAATTTCGGGCTATAAATGAGTTTATTCTTTAATATTTTCATATTATCTTTAACTACTTTAATCCTTTCTTTTGTTTCCGAACTTTTCTTTTATATTTATCGAAGTTTATCTAATCCGAAGGTTTTTTTAAAGTAATATACCCGGTATTATTTTTTGTTTACCTAATTCACCATCTTCTTCATTCTTAAATTTGCTTTATAGAAGGTATTGGTTACGGATGCATCATGCGGCTTTTAATAGCACTTAATGACGCCAGTTTTCAACTTTATTCGGCTTCGATTCATATCTAAGCCATCATCGTCGATCAAAAGAAATTTTTTCAACTGTTTTCTTATAATTCTCAAAAAAATTATATATCAAAATTAAATTTTGAGATTTATTTCAATTGTACAAAGAATATATGAAAATAATATGAAGCAGTCAAATTTTAATTTGCAAATAAAAAAATATGACTTTCCAGCTAATCGTATATTTTATTTGTTAAATAAATTGATCTCTTCCCTCCCTCAATGAGTAACATTATTTATAAGAAAAAATTAGGACAACATATTTTAAAGAATCCCGGTATAATAGATTCAATAATTCAAAAATCCAGAATAAAACCAACCGATACCGTTTTAGAAATAGGTGGTGGAACTGGAAATTTAACAGTAAAATTATTGGAAGCTTCAAAAAAAGTATTATGTTATGAAAAAGATCCAAGAATGGCCAATGAACTTATAAAAAGAATATCTTCAAATAAAGAATACAATAATAAATTTCAACTTTTTGTAGGAGATGCGATAAAGGCAGATTTTCCATATTTCGATATGTGTGTTAGCAATACACCGTATAAAATAAGTAGTCCTTTGATTTTTAAATTATTGAAATATAATTTTAACCGAGCAGTTATGATGTTTCAAAAAGAATTTGCAGAACGTTTATGTGCAAAAGTAGGAACATCTTCATATTGTAGATTATCTGTTTCGGTACAAATATTAGCCAAAGTAGATATTATCATGAAAGTAAATAAAAATAATTTTAATCCACCACCAAAAGTAGAATCTGCAGTTGTCAAAATAGAACTTAGACATCCAAGACCACCAATAGATTTAGAAGAATTTAATAAATTATTAAGAGTTTGCTTTTTAAGAAAAAACAAAACTTTATCCGGCATTTTTAAAAATAAATCTAATTTAAACGGATTTTTAATTGAAAACTGCGATAGTAATGAAATACAAGAAACTGTCATTTCCGTTCTTGAAAAATCTGGATTTTCTGATAAAAGAGCTTCTAAAATGGACATTGATGATTTTTTATTACTATTATTAGAACTAAAAAAACAAAATATAAATTTTAAATAAATTCAATGCTTAAAAGATTTTTATTTTCCACATCTTAAATTTTAGTAAAAAAAAAGATATCAAATTAAATAATTAGTGTTACTTTATAAAGTAATCGTTACAAAAAATAAAAAAGAAAATAGATTTCTTACTTATATAAAACATGCCTTCACCCGGGCTCGAACCGGGGACCTTATCCGTGTAAAGGATACGTGATAACCACTACACTATGAAGACATAAAATCAATACATAGAGAATAAAAAAATGATTGAAATAATTGACTAAATATTTTAAATTCTTACATCGCAATTCATTTCTATAATACAATGTTACTGTACATTAATTTTAATAAATATTTATATTTTTAAAAACAACTTTCCTTGAAGTAACAAAGCTAATATTTCAGATTCAAATTTAATTTTAGATGTTTTTTTTAGTAATATTATATTTAAGAAAATCAGAAAAGTAAAATGTCTTTTATTTAAATTACACACCTATTTCATTAAAAACCTTTGATACACACGATGAACCAAAGTACCGTATGTTATACCAAAAAAAGCTATACCACTACCAATCAACCAATAACCCGGTCTTTTATAGTTTATTTCTTTATTTGTTATTAAATTATCCTTTTCTACCATTGAACCAACATATATAAGCGACATACCGCCTATACACGGTACAACCTTATTTATTCTTTTTTTTATGATGTATTTTGATAAATACAACCCAGAAGTAAAAAATAGTGAAGTTGATAGCAAAGACATTAAGGGTAACGTTTATCAAAAAAAATACAGATTAAAATATATGAGTTGTATAAATAGAAATGGAATTATTTAATAAAATTCTGGGTTAAAATATTTTTTACCATTTTTTACATGTTTTCTTCTACCTCTTTAACCACTTTTGTCTCTTCTTCCAAATCCGACTCTTCATTTATGTTATTGGTCGGTTCCTCTAAAGTGGTTCCTCCTTGTAAAATAAAGGGGGCTTTATATTTTGGTTTAAAATTTTTGGCACCATCTTCCTCTGTTTTCGCTTCTTTTAAAGGGGGTATTGGTTCCTCATGCATCTCTGATCTCATAATAACACCCATTGACGCTCTCTCCCAGCTCTCTTCGGCATTTAGTCCTGACTCAAGTCCTCTTCGTCGATCAAAGGAAATAGTTTCGACTGTCTTTTTAAGTACTATAGACTGAATGTATGCTTCTACATTCATGGGTATTTCTAGTCTTTTAAGATGGATTTATGGTATTTTGTCACAATACCGTCCCAGGTCATCACATAAGGGATTATCTCAACACTACACTTATAAATAAGGCCCAACTCATTGGCTAGCAGGTCATACTTCCTAGTTTTTAGTTTCAACTATTTGAAGTGAATCTTGGGAAGTGATTCCTACTTCAATGAGTGTTATCTTATTCTTCTTCTTATCTAAAATAAATATGTCTGGTCTGTTATTCCGAATTTTAACATCAGTTTTAATTCTGGTGTCCACTCTTATCTTTGGATACTCATTATCAAGAATTTCTTGAACTGAGTGACTCCTTATTCGTTTTGAAGACGCAAACTTATATCTATTTAAGAGAAGTAGTTGTAGGCATCGAACCATTTCATTATGCCGTCTAGTGTAATCATGGCCTAGCATTTTTTCACATCTAGTTGCTAGATGATCCACAGTCTTACCAGACTTGCCGCAATGTTGACACACACCATCTGCTCCCCAGAATACATTTCTATCCTGGATATAGCAGAACACAGCTTCATTTCGTGGCCTAATATTCCCTCTCTTTAGCCATCTTGAAGAGTCACTAACACTTACAAGCTCATTTTTCCTTGCATTATATAACTTTGAATGGAGTTTTCGTTTTTCTATTTCGTTATATAGTTTTGCAAGTTGAGCTTCTTCTAAACTTTTCTTAGTGACTTCTTCTACCAACCTGTACTTTACTTTTAAGAAGCCTTTTATTAGTGCAAGATGGGTTTTATTATTATTCTCCACCTTGAGGATTGCTGCTCGTCTAGTTGATATTTCTTTACTTTTTTCCAGACAATCCAAGAGTTGCAGAAGCATATGTTCGCTTCGCAACTCAACACTATGTAGGCCTCTTCCAAGTTCTGTTCTAGGAAGGTATAAACGCTCTTTACATCCTGGGCGGAGATGTATCTTATTTTTCACCAATACCGCACGCACTGCATCATCTAACTTAGAGAAGTCAGCCGGTTCAAGTCGAAGTACTCCTATGTGATAGTTGATTAACGATATCGCATGTTGATTGATTGCAGAAAATAAATTTTTTGCATTTAATCTAGTGTGACAAAGTCTTTCAACTCTTGATATAAGTTTGCTCTGTACTTCTTCAAATGAGCTACGTGTTGGGATTCCTCTGCTATCTTCTATTATTCCTAAATATTTGTAAACACTAACACCTTCTAGAAGAGTAGCAGTATCTTCACAACACGTATCATTTGTGGCTGACTTCTCTTTGTTAATCTCTAAGCCAATCACCTCTAAAAATTCCTTTGCCTCGCCTGTCATAGCACTCAATGTGGAGCTGTCTTTTGCAAGGAGCTTAAGATCATCAATAAACAAGAGATGATTAGTAGAATGGGATTCTGCATCTGTTTGTACTGTCACTTTTGTGTATTTTTCATTAAGCTTTCGGCTTAATGGATCCATACACAACACAAATAACAAGGTGACAGACTATCTCCTTGCAGGATCCCTCATCAATCTTCTTGCTCATGATTTTTTCAGGCCCTACTGATATATCAATTTTCCATTTTGATATAATTACCTTAATAAATTTCAGGATCCAATCAGGTAAATTAGGTTTTCAATGCATTGAGTTAAATAAGCATGATCTATTGAATCATAGCTTTTTTAACATCAATCCATGTTGCCTTAAGATTGTTTCCGTACTCTTTATTTAAGGCAATATTCAGTGAGCCTGCTCTTTCGCTCCCTGCACACCTCTTACCGCCCCTAGTTGGTTCTCTGCAAGCAACCCTCGCCTTTCCACTTCAAGTTGAACGACTTTCGTTACACACTTTGTCGTTAACTTATAGAGGTTGGACATACAAGTGATTGGCCTGTAGTCAGAGCCTCTTCGTGGAATTCCTTTCGGTATCAAATACGTAAGCCCGCAGTAAAACCAATCAGCTTGAGGTGTTCCTTCTAAACATATAACTTTCACAATATCATAAAGATATTTGTGAAGAGTTGTAAGTTTCTTAATGAAAAATTGTAGATACCATCAATTCCGCAGCTTTCCAATTAGGGAGCCAATTAATGATATTCACAAATTCATCAAGTGAAGGAAACGTGGTCGGATGATTATCTGATACAAATGGAATCAAATAATCATCGTACGTGACTGTGTCATCATTTTTGTTCCACATTGTAGACCAAAACTCACAATTTCATCACGGCTAACCACATGCTCGGATTCCACACGCTCAGATAACCCACGATAAAATCGACCTCGGAAAGCTCAAACTCTCTCTTTTCGATTGCTTCCTCTTCTGTCTTTTTTTCGTAAACATTCAAGACTCTTCTCTTAACTAAGCCTCGAAGATCGTTACGCTGTCGTTTAATTAATCCGCTGTTTTTTAGGCTTTCGTTTCAGTGTTTTCTGCTTACGCCTTCTCGAGATCTTTGGAAAGTACAACTTAGAATTTTACTTTTGTTTTTTCCGCGGATCTAGGCTTTTCTTGCGTGTTGCCTCGTCTAGATACTGCGCGCTTGCTGATATACGCGGCTTCCGTAATTGACTCGGTACTGGCTCCTGCTATTCACCGACTACTCGATTAATGGATCCGAACTTTACTATCACCATTCATTTGGTGTTTTCTGTTCGACCACTACTTTCATTTCGTTCTCGATTTTTTGATTTTACTCGATTTATCTCTCGGTTTATGTATCCGTGGTGTCGGTCGGTGCTGTTGCGGTGGCGATTCTCGTGCTCCCATTCTTATTTTACATCCTTTCCATCTCACTTTGTGCCAATTTTTTAACACTTCGAGTTTCGTGCGCCAATTTCTCTTATAGTCCTGTGCTCTGTCCGCCATTTCTTGGCATTCTTCAACCTTGTCTGTACTGCAAAAACAATTCGGGCCATTCTTCGGGTCGGCTGTTCGGAATCGAATATCGTCCGCATGCCATTGCCTGTTACCTTCCGGGTGCTGTACGGGGCTTGTTGTCGTCGATGGCTCGCGACTTCACCGAAGAGGGACGTGTATTAGGCGGGTGGTGTGCCCCTTTTGTTTTCTGCTGTTTGGTTGTGGTGGTGTTATTGTTGTGTGGGGAGGAGGTGGGATCGCCGGTGGGTGTGCTCTTTTGTATCTCCTATCCTTTTCCTTTTTTGCCTTTTTTGGTTTATTCTATTTCTTTTTTCCATTATAAGAAATGGAATTATAAATATATTTTAGAATACTTCTTAATTATTTGAAAAGATTTTATAATTTTGAAAAAAAAACGTATTTAAGTAAAAAATTTATTGATTGAAATACTTTTTAGTTAACATAATACTTTCTAGTTAACATAATACTTTTTAGTTAACATAATACTTTCTAGTTAACATGATTGAAACCTAAGCTATTGTATTCTTACGAAACATTGGTAAATACCAAAAAATCTTGACTTTGTTTCACATGTGGAAATGAAAGATACTAAGAAAAACATATGGTCTAATATTTCATATAAAGAGTGAAGATTTAGAAGAAATCTGAAATATAAGAGTTTAATGAAGGAGCTAATTCGGTCACTATAATGAAATATTGAAGACCTAAATGACCAGGCAGGTATAAATAATTTCACCAAGCGGTTCTGTTAGTAAAATTTATAGATCTGCATTTGATAGTAAGAGAAGACAAGCTAAGACAGGAAAAAAATGCTAGAGGTGTGTAAAGAATCTAATAAAATCTATTATATCTCAATTGAAAAAATTTAAAGCTGAATTCTGAAGAATGAAGGATGATCTTTAAGAAGTCTCGAGCTCTTCCAGGGGTGTAGCGCTGCAAAGTTAGTTAGTTTAGTATAAATAACATTTTTAATAAAGCAGCTAGAATATATCTTAATTTAAACAATTAAAAAATCATAAATCCAGTATTAAATAAAATATTTTTCTTTATTAAATTTTAAAATTCTTACCTAATTAAATAAATTAATTTAATCATTAAAAAGAATCATTATTGATCTAGAAACCCTTCTATATGCAAATATTTTATAAATCAC